TCAGTTGTTCTTCTTGTTCGGAGTGCCCTCATACGTCCATTTTGATCGTGGTGGGGCTTCCATGTCGGGTGGAGTACAATCGTTTCTTCACGACAGTGCTGTGGCATCCGGTCGAACTCTCACATACAATCCACGCGGAAACGGACAAGTCGAACGGCTTACCGGCACGCTTTGGAAGTCCAACACTGTATCTGTCTATCTATCTATCTATCTATCTATCGATCTATCTATCTATCTATCTATCGATCTATCTATCTATCTATCTATCGATCTATCTATCTATCTATCTATCGATCTATCTATCTATCTATCTATCGATCTATCTATCTATCTATCTATCGATCTATCTATCTATCTATCTATCGATCTATCTATCTATCTATCTATCGATCTATCTATCTATCTATCTATCGATCTATCTATCTATCTATCTATCGATCTATCTATCTATCTATCTATCGATCTATCTATCTATCTATCTATCGATCTATCTATCTATCTATCTATCGATCTATCTATCTATCTATCTATCGATCTATCTATCTATCTATCTATCGATCTATCTATCTATCTATCTATCGATCTATCTATCTATCTATCTATCGATCTATCTATCTATCTATCTATCGATCTATCTATCTATCTATCTATCGATCTATCTATCTATCTATCTATCGATCTATCTATCTATCTATCTATCGATCTATCTATCTATCTATCTATCGATCTATCTATCTATCTATCTATCGATCTATCTATCTATCTATCTATCGATCTATCTATCTATCTATCTATCGATCTATCTATCTATCTATCTATCTACCTAACTAAATTCTGTCCAATCAGGGTCTAGCCGAATCTAGGCCAATTGACGTTGTGCCTGTGCTCCTGGGCCCCCACTTCCTATCAGAACCAGAATGGGGATCAGACTTGTTAGGAAAAAAGCAGAATTGTCCTGTGCAATCCGTAGATTATAGAAATAATGAAATTTGTGTCTCTGATCCAGCTGTCATTTATTTTGTGCAGACAGAGAAAATATAAGCGAATGTCTTAAAAGTAAGATGTATCGACAAAGACGACTTCAACCGGTATTTGAATTGACAATAACGCATCGGCAGGGGAAGAATGTGTTAGCTGTTCACTTGCTGTTCATTAAACTAACTGTTTCCCTATGTTTTAGCTGATCTACTGAAGTTGTTTGAAAATTAAGGCCTATCATTCGGCAATCCTCATTCTCCTTCTGGCTGAATCATTCGAGTGCACAACACGCGGTAGGGCAATTTCTGCTAGTGTCATTAACCAGTGATGATTTGTGTTCTGGGGTCCCCGTCCAGCGAGGCGGCGGTTGTTTACCCGACTCAGCTTATTGGTAGTGCACTGTCCACCTATTGGACGCTTCCACCCAGCACAGGGCCAGGCGGAAAGAACTCTGCGAGGCGGACGGTCCTCTGGCATGCGCAATGCATGTTCTAACCAGCGTGACCTATGAAGCGTGAGAAACTCATCTATCGTGGGACAGTTTCTTCTAAAACCACCCAGCGTACCTTAGCACTGCTAATCCAACGTTCTCTTCAAAGAAATCGACTGTCAAGCACTGACAGCTTTCGTATGACCTCTGCGCGTAGAATCATCGGCATCCTTGAAAGCATGTCATCAGTGGTCAACACTGATGCTCCGCTGCCGCACAACCATGATTTTTTTGGAAGCCTTGTGAAGAAAAGAATAAAGGTGGACAGGGAAGGGACTTAATGCTAGCTTATCGCTCAGCTGTAGTACCCTTTCCGTG